CCACATGTTATATACACACATGAGCATTTTACCAAAAGACCACATGCTGATGTGATCACGAGCATTTTGATCAGTAACTGTAACTTCCATCTTTACCAGTAACTCATTACATATATTTTGTAATTCAGCTAGTTACTGTACATATAACTAGTTACTTTCCAACACTGCCAACAATGAATGGTACCCCCAGTCCCAATGTCCACGCAGACTCACGGACTGTGAGGCGCGCTCCCGCTGAGTGAGTTAGTGTTCAGGGCTGTCCCGCTGTGAAATCGTTCTAAACCCACAACAGTCGGAACCATGGCGTCGTTTGGCGTCGTCATGGTGACGTGATGGCCTCAGTCACAAAATGCTGTCCCGATCCTATTTATAGCCTCCAGCCCTTGCAGACTCTTCCACCCAGTCACTTACATGTGACGTCACTAAATTCTTTGCGAGTTCAGGTCTTGAGACCTTGTAGGGGGCACTTTGGGATTGGGCCATATAACAATAACTCTAATGTTGTGCCCATATGTCTTGGATCAGTAGCTCTGTCTTGTATAGTCTGGACTCGGCCTTTGGGCTGTGCCGGTTTAGTTCATCGGCGGGGGGGGGGCTGATTTACTCTTTACTGACGCTCAGCAAGAAATTTTCATCTTGTCCATTTTGACCAAGTTTTCTTGGAAAGTTAATCTGGGCTGTAGGTGCATTCTCCTGGCGCGCGCGCGTGTGTGTACTGGCTACTCTGATTCAGGTGCACCTGCTTTCACGTTGAGCATGGATAAATACAGACGCACTTTGTTGTATTTTAAGAGGGACATCCTAATGAAGGCCCCCCCCCCGGGGGGCCTGTGACTGTGCTGCGTCTTCGTGAATTTCTCAGAGACTGAACCGTCAGATTAAAGATTTGGTGAAAATCCCCAAATTGGTTAATGAGGTTTAACGCGCGCTCCTCCACGTGTTTGACCTGAATCGTCTGAACGAGCTTCAATCATTTGTCATAGTTAATGTTAATGTTAATTAAAGTGACATTTCCCTTCTCACACTCACACTGCCTCATGTTGGAGGCTGTTTGTCGGTGAATTGAGGAGAACGGGCGACATTTTCTCTGTGAAGTGAAAAGTCCAGTAGAAATGGGAAATAAAACTGCACTAATAGTACATCCATTGTGCACATTCAGATCCTGAGCCGGGGATGGCAGCGGGGCAGGTCCCGGCACAGGCCGCAGCGCGCATCGCCCGACGGGAGGAGGCCCCGGACGGAGCCGAGGACTCAGGTCGGTCTGACAATTTGCTCTCTACCTTGAATTGTTTCTTTTCTTTTGACTGTGTGGAAGAGGCCAGCAGCAGGAAACCCCAAAATAACCGCTTGTGTTTTTCCTTTTTGAGAAATGAAGCGTGTGGATGATGAGGACAACACTCTCATTTCAGTTCCCTGGATGAAAACATTGTAAGTAATTAAACTGTGATGATTAAAATACAGCAGCCGAATTATGTTACATTTTTAAATTTGGAACTTAATTTATTACTTTTCAGTCGTTGAGGTGCAAACTTCACTCTTAATATCTTTTTAAGGCGGAATCATGAAAATGTGTCAAGCGATGTTTGCCGTTTTATCAACTACTACACTTCTCACACCAACATGCACATGTAGAGGGTGTGTGTGTGTGTGTGTGTGTGTAAATGTAGACACGCGGCGCGCGCGCATGCTTCGGGTTCCCTTGAGCTCCAATTTCTAAAATAAAAAAAAAGTATTTTGTCCAAATTAAACTGCTGACGTGTGCTCTTGTATTGTTTTTATTTTAGTCAGGTATCCTAAAATTACACATTAGCATTTAACAATATATTACAGCCTTCAGACCCATGATTCCGAAACAGTCCTAATAATCAGAAAGCAAACAGAAAAGAGGGTTTTTCTTTACCGCTGCATTAAAAGTCCGTTTCCAGATTTTCAACTCGCACAATATCTTTGATTTTATTTCATTTTATTTATATTTTTCCAAATCTGAACACAGGAAGTACAAAGCTCCTCTTATTTGCCCCTTTTCAGAGGAAACAAGTTGTACAGTTAGTGCATTCGATCCTAAAACAATGAAAAAATAGATCTGACTAAGAAGAAGAAGTGCTACATAAGGAGGTGATGAGGTAAATCTGTTCAGGAAGAAGAAACAACAAACAGATGAACTGATGCGGTGAGAGAAACGAACAGGACAGTCCACGCATTATTATCATCATTATATACACAGCAGATGCATAGAATACTTTGTTCAAATCCATTTTTACATAAATACCTACATTTTTTTGTTTGTTTGTTTGTTTGTTTTTTCAAAAAGACCCAAATAAAACGTGAAACCAGTTCGAACTGTTCCAGGGTCAGTTTGTGCCTGCCGCAGTGCCGCTGAGCAGAGCAGCCCCAACCCGCCAAAAACAACACATTCAATATTTGTCATGATTTCATGGTATCGCCAATCAGCATAGTATTCAATACAAACACTGTGGGGTTATTTGAAGGTTCAACTCCAGTGAGGCTCTGTATTTTTCTTATTGTCAGTAAATCCCATTAAAAGACCCAGAGCCATCAAAATATTGTGCGTGTACGTGAACCCCGGTAGATCCTCCTACTCTGTGCCACCGTCACACACGGCCTGCTGCAGCTAGGACTAATCCGCCGCGGGAAATAGTCCTCAACAAATGCACAGCGTGTTTGAATGAGAGATGGACTAACGTCTGGGTCTGCACGAGATTTAGTTGACAACAGAAAAATGTTTTGTCAGGTTGAGAAAGTTTACTCTAAATTTTATTACAGGAGTAAATATAGTTGCTTTTCATTCTTCATTCCAACCAAACTCGTATGGAAGAGGACAGGTTCCTCCAGCAGGAAGTGGAGTTTGACTTTTATAAATGAACCTCCAGCTGTTAAATATGTTCAGTGCGTCACACAAGTTACTTTACAATATATGTTTTGATTTTCCTTTTGTGGTCAACATCTAATTTTCCTACATTTCCCAGAATGCTTTTCTTGACGAGAGCATACATTTTCTGTGAATTCAGTCAGTCCTAAACCCAGAAACACCCACCAGAAAATTAACACCACTGTATGTTCACATCGTGTCTCGTCACCTGAACAGGTGCAGGATAGAGTTTCTCATTAAAGGGCTTGTTCCGTTTTCTGATATTCTGACAGCGATGTTAGCAGAGGTGTGCAGCTCTGACTCCTCAGCAGCAGTAAAGTCTAGTGCTTTGGTGCTTTTGGACTGGCTGTAGCTGCTGACCATATAAAACCAACACCCCTCTCTCCTTATTATCGTAGGTTTCTTCAAACCAGTAGCAGAGGCGGACACCTTCCTCCTTGCTGTGGTGAGTGTTTTGGTAATTGTTCACTCTCAATTTAATAATGAATTAGGGTTAATGGTGTCCTGTCACACCTGAAATTTCCATTCATTCATGTGTCTTTGCTAAATACTCAGCCCTAGACTTGGTCCCTTACATGTGGTGACTCCACTGACTCAACCGTGACGTCACCCACTGGTCTTCTCAAGCCTGGCTGTCGCCATCTTGGCAGCACTTCACTCCTCCTGCTAGGTCTAACCCAAAAATGGGCAAATAGGCAGAGCGGGAGTGGGGCTTTCTAGACAGCTAGTGGACAGCCACCTATGGCGGGACCCTCCTGTCTGTCACTCAAAGTGGCCTCGCCCTTAATAAGTGTGTAACATTTAGTCTCAATATAGTATAAACAGGTGAGTTATTAAAGATTCACCCCCCTACAGTTACCATGGAAGAGGAAATTAGCTATAGAGACCACAACAGGTTTTGTATCAGGCTGTAAACATGTACTGACTTCCTTTTGGAGCCAGCCTCTAGTGGCTGTTTGAGGAACTGCAGGTCTTTTGGTGCTTCCATTTCTCAGTCGTGGAGGTTGCCGCTTGGTGACTCTAGTGCACAACTCTGTTGTAGAGTCAGAGAAATGAAAAGTTATGTTAAATGGCCTCACCAAGAAACCGTTTAGCCACTGGGAGAGCTCAGAATAAACGTCATTCAGATCCAATCTCTGGGTCAGACGGAAGCAGATACAAGACTGTCTGTGCAGTCAGCTGTAATGGCTTCCTCAGGCAGGCACATCGTGCATCTGCTTTCCTTCTGACTCAGAGATCAGTGAGGATGGATTTGACTGGAATCATGTTTATACTGAGCTCTCCCAGAAGCCAACAGGTTGCCCTGGTGACAATGTTTAAGGATTACTTATGGCGTTTAAGGGTTACTTTAAGGGCAGCTTGTTTCTCCCAGTCCCTACAGCTGAGGGGTGGGGGGTGAGAGTTGTGTGGTGGGTAGAGCAGTCGTCTCCCAACCAGAAGGTTGTGGGTTCAAATCTCGGTGCCTGCAGTCCACATGTTGAAGTGTCCTTAGGCAAGACACTGAAACCCCCAAGTTGCCCATGATGGCGGCATGTATGCAGGATTAGAGCCGTTTGTCAACACACTACAGTCTGTAAAAACTGTTTGTGTTTCACTCTGCCTGGTTGTTGGGTTGAATTGGCTGTTTCAGACAGAAACTGATTTGCGGCTGTCAGAGCATCAGAAGAGTAATTGTGCCTATGTAGTATATTCTTTTATTTTACCTAGAGTACATTTAAAACCATCTGAACTAATGAGGGAAGCCTGGAATCTACAAACATCACAGAGGATTTTAACAGACTTGTGATTTATTCCTTTCATGCTGCTCAGTAAAAGCTTCCCTCAAATGGAAAACTTTATTCTGGGTTCATGTCAGTGACGACCTTCTCTTCAAACTCCCTCCTGTTTCTACTTTTCCTGCTGGAGGAACCTTGTTTTCTTCTTTCATACACGTCTCCAGGCTCAGCAGATTTGCTGCGAGCCGGCTGCCGTCTGTTGCAGACAGACGCTCAGCAACCTTCAGCCGCGCAGCTTCTCCCTCACTTTAACAGTCTCTTTTTCAGGACGCTGGCTTCATTTGGCACCAAAATCGGCCGTCATGTGTTCAGTCGACAGCTATGACCACGTTTGGACTTTTTTAAATTTGACTCTTGCGAGCATCATGTCTTCTTCAGTCCAGCTCCAACAGGAAGTGGCAGTTTGTTTTTGTTTTTTTAAAGCCCGTCCCTCATGGCTGTCTTTTCATCCTGTCCATAACAGTAGAGCTGTCCCTGTGACTTCCTGTTGTGTGCAAGAGCGGTGATGCCTTCAGGGACGTCATCAGTCCTCAGAAAGGTGAGCTGTCCACTTCTGTTTTTTATCATGTACTGCTGTGTGTGTGTGTGTGTGTGTGTGTGTGTGTTTACTCTGCCATCTGAATGTAATAAACTGTCCAAATGTCAAAACACAACAAATATCAACTCAGTTACTATAATTATGTTTTACACTTACAAATTTAGTTGCATTTTGTGGGACATTTCAACAGATTATTGCATCTTCAGTCTGTGACAAAGCAGAAAAGAAACATGAGCTGTAATCAAATTGTAAATTCAGATACGAGCGCAGACAGCTGATCCTGATCGCTACAGAACCTGGCTCCGAAAACTGTCATGGAGTTCACTGGGAGCTGCCCACTCCCAGGTTAACATGAGCAAACTGAACCTGAATTAATGCCAAGCTAAAGAGTGAGCAGCTGTGGACACCGGAGGCCTCCTGCTCACTCAGAGCTACAGATTTCACCTTCCCTTCATGAATTGAAAGGTTCCCAAATCTTGCTTTACAAATTAATTACAGCTCAGTTCTATTGCTTTACATTGTTGGTACTGAGAGCTGAAGTTGGCCTCATGGTGCGTTCAGTGTCTGCCTGTTACACTGCTTGTTGTTTTATTGTTTTCTGGTGAATGATGTGGTCTTGACTTGTCTGACAAAGCAACACTATTTGATGAAGCTGCTTCTGGTGTTTTAATGCACACAGTTCACTTCTTATAATTATCCTACAACAAGCTCAGCTTAGTGCTTTACCCTGGTTCATTTTACTGGGATTAATGTTTTACAGCTGCCTGGTTTAGTCCACGTGATCCGCATGTAAGTTGTATTATTGTGTTTCTTTTTGTCATGCATCTTCAAAGTTGCTGTAAGTCACTAAGCATATAAAGATGGATGAGTCGAGCTGCAGCTCCTGTTAGCAGCGTTAGCCAAGAGTTTGATTCCTGACGTTCTTTCCTTGTTTAAACTTAAAAAGGCATCTGAACGCACCTTTGATGTCATTCAGGCATCTGTACCAGTACAACTCTATGTGTGTGTTATTGTGTATCGACAGCTGTGTGTCTCCTGCAGGCTAGTCCTCGCTGATGACGTCCACGTCCTCTCCTCCAGCCTGCTGCGTTGCTGCTCTCCAGCGGCTGACGTGCTGACTGCCCTTCCTCTTCTGCTGAGCTTCAGGAGACTCTTCCTCCAACTTCTGACGCTTGTGCTTCGTCCGGCGGTTCTGAAACCACACCTTCACCTGCACACAGACACAGACAGGTACGTGATTAACAGGAGAAATCCACCAGGACATCTTGGCCTCTGCTGCGCCAAAGTCAATCTGTTGTGTTGTTTTGTTTTTTTTAAATCAGTCACTCACCAGGCCAAATTTATCTGTTGGATATTACTGCAATATTAAACCTGGTATGACTACTGTTAGTATCACTACCATTCTTCATTACATCAACTTATAAAGGCCCTCTGAAGCTGTTCTGCAGAACTAGGGCTGCCCCCCGAACATCGACTACTCGAATCATTAGTCGAGAGCTCCGTCAGTAGATTCTAGTCGAACCTTTGTTTTATTTCAGATTTTGTCAGCCAGTGAGCATTACAACAGGAGGCAGCCGCAGCCCCTGGTAGTTTGTCGTCTTCTCCTTGTTCTGCTGTGCCAAGCAGCCGTTTTCTCAGTACTTCCCCCTGTGGTCAGCGGCTCCCACTTCAACGGTGACACCGTCGTGATGTGTAAGGTCTGACAACACTATTTAGCAGTGGTGGAAAGAAGTACTAAGATTTTTTACTTAAGTAAAAGTAACAACTCCACAGTGTACAAATACTCTGTTAAAAGTCCTGCGAGATTTTTTACTTAAGTAAAAGTAACAACTCCACAGTGTACAAATACTCTGTTAAAAGTCCTGCGTTCAAAATGTTACTTGAGTCAAAGTACAAAAGTATTAGTGTAGTTAAAGTACTAAAAGTAAAAGTAGTCATTATGCAGAGTGGTACAGTTGACATGAATGTCCAGTACATGATATGACTGGATTATAAGTACTGATGTATCCTTGCCTTGTGTGCACCTCTGTTTAATGTTGCAGCTGGTAAAGGTGGAAATATTGCTAACTGCCAACATACTTATAATATGAAGTACAGTACATACTGATGGGGAGCTTGTGAATTTCCAATTGGATCATTAACGTCTGATTATACTGTAGTTTGTTTTATTAATCGGATCCTGAAAAGTCACTAGTAGCTAAAGTTATCAAATAAAATAAAACTAGTGAGTAAACAGTACAGTAAAGTGTAGTGAAGTCGAAGTATGAAGTAACAGAAAATGAAAAAACCTAAAGTACAGATACCTCAAAGTTGTTCTCAAGTACAGTGCTTAGTTACTTTCCACCTCTGCTGTTTAGCAAACTGCTGCCCAGCACGAGGAGAAAAGGACAACGAAACCCACTAGGAGAAGACTCAGTGTGGCCCGTTCTGCATATTGTGTGTGTGTGTGTGTCCAGGTTGTTTGACCAACTCTGTTAAAATGCAACACACAGCCATTTACCAACTGTTTCTACGATGTTCATCCATCCAAACGAGACAGGGAAGCTAACAGAAATGCACAGGGAAAACATTTCAATGAGGAGCTGGCACGCAAACGCACAGTAACAACGTGCTGCAGTTAAGTAACGGGAGAAGCTCCAACTTTAAAATAACAGGGGGGGGTGTAGCAGACAGACTATAATTCAATAGGGTTGAATAAGTAATTTAAGTTCAGTGAATTTCCATCTCATTATTAAATTGTATTTTATCTGGTGCTAAAAAACCCCCATGATATCAGTATTATACAGCGATCAGGTACAACATTATGACCACCTGTACTGCTCTGTGCACTTCAGTGCCTTAACGTCTGTTTATGAAGCTCGAAATGTTTCAGTTTTTGGTTAGATTGTCATAAATGGATAAATTCAGTTATGTTTATTACAGAGGTTGTAGCTAAAGGTGCTGTTGTACTGGACTCTACAGTATATTCAATTTATTTGTTGAACAACAATGAAAACAAGTTAAAATTACACAAATTTAAAACCAAGGTCAGTAAGCAACTATAAAACTCCTGTACAATAAAAATGTGTCAAAATACAAACAGAATATAAAACCAGAAAGCCTGTAGGCACCTGATTAGTGCAACTGCCAAAAGCCAGTCTGAATAAGTGTGCTTTTAATTTAGACTTACAAACCATTAACCCAGTTATGGAGCGAAGCTCAGGAGGCAGGAAGTTATAGAGCTGGTATACGGCAAAAGAACGATCACCCCACTTTTTGTACCTTGCCCACAGGACACCAGAGACAAATGCTCAGAGGAGCGCAGCGCTCTGACTGGGGTACGAATAGTTAAAAGATCTGTCAAATAGACTGGAGCCAGGCCATTAATGGTCTATATTGTATATATTGGTCCTCCCTGGTTACATAAATGAGAGGGTCAGAATATTGTTAAGGCAGAAGGGTTGCGCTTGAAGTGCATACAGCTGTACAGGTGTACCTAATTAAGTGGCCAGTGAGTGTATATAACTCACTGGTCAGTTTATTAGGAACCCCCTTGATCCAGAAGTCCCACAGTAAACCCTCCTCCATGAAGGGTGGTGATGATCAGACTGAGATGACCATCTCCAGAAGCAGGAGGCCGTTATATAATGCTGATATCGTGTTTCCTTTCTTGTAGTACCAGATAACGTACAATAATTTAAGAAAAATGATATACAAATTCACTGAACTTGAATGATTTAACCATAATGAATTATAAAAAATGTCTGCTACACTCTGCACTCCCCCATTATTTTACATTTTTTTAAAATGTCCACAAGTAATCGTAAAATATCCATTAAAAAAAAAGTGCCAATTCTCTAAACCCGCCAACTATCAGCCCACTGAGACATTGGTCTCCCACTAATGATCAGAGTTGAACCAACACCTCAATGAAACAGCCTGAACACAAACAGAATATCATCACCTTGATGCCGGAGCATTCACTGCAGCACTGCTGTGTTAGGCTGGTGTCGAAGGGGTGGGGCCTTTAACCTGTCTTTGCCCAGGGGTCTGTTGGGGAGGCAGCCAGTTCCAACTGCTGTCGTTAATAGTAATAATGTGATGATTTAGTACCTTGATGCTGGTAAAACATCCGTGTGACATGCAGAACTGTTCAGACTCATCCCGGAGAGGTGAACATGCTGACTCGGAGCTCGCGTTGCACAATCTGCCACTGGCATATAAATCTGAACGACAGGATCCAGATACAGTACTCGAGTGTCTCGTCGGCGCTGCCAAAGGCCCGAGGTGCTTTAATACCCGATCGTCTCTGTGTGTCGGGACGTTGTGTAATTATGATACCGGTGTCACTCGGAGTTGGACGGTTAAAGGCCTAAGGAAACGTTTCCTGTTGGCTGCTTTACAGAGCCTAAACTCATATCTGCTTTCTCTCAAAAGTCAGATAAGAATCTGTTGTAACTTATGAGCTTCTCTGTAAGGAGACGACACCAGAGGCGAGCTGAATGAACACAGTCACACAAACGTTAGTAAGATTTAAACTGGGCCCTGCACGCTGAGCTGTTCATTGACCCTGATCTTTGTATTTGTTTATGTACAACTGGACACTTTGGCCTGATGGCGATCAATGAAATGATCAGTATTTACTCTACAAAGCCCCGAGAAGTTCACAAATAACGTTTTCTTCTGCAGTACTTTTGTATGTAGAGAACTCCAGCAGTGTTGGAAGGGCTGCAACGATTAGTCGGTGACATGATTAACAAACACAATCTGCTATTTTCACAAGTGGCTGATGATTTAAGGATTTTTCCAGCAAACATGCCAAAACTGGCTGTTTTTAGTCTCCAACATACAAAGATTCCCTCTGGCAGTGGAACATCTTAGAGTTCCCCCACCCCGCAGCTTTTAGTGTGTCACCGACTGGCTGTAAGTAACCAAGTACATTTACTCTAATACTGTATGTACCATTTTTAGGTACTTGTACTCAGTGGTGGAAGAAGTACTGGGGTTTCCTTAGGTAAAAGTAGCAATCCAACAACTTACAAGTCCTAGATTCAAAATGTTATGCAAGCACAAAGTATTAGCATCAAAATATGCTTACAGTGCCCAAAGTAAAAGTAGTCCTTATTCAGAATGGCACATTTTACATTGGTGCACATCATATGATTTAATTCTACTAATTCTAAATACAGTCTATTGATTGATGCAGCTGATAAAGGTGGAGCTAATGTTAACTACTTGATATAATGTGGAGTACTGCTGGGATTTTACTGCTTTTTTGTGTTAATGCGATTGCCCTCTGTGGCTACTGTTTTAAAAACCCACACCGCACTTCTTCCACATCCCCCCAACCCACCCGATCTGAGGTTATAAGACGCGTTTTTCAATGCAGCAGGGCTCATTTCAAAGACGAACCGTGGAGGCTCCAAGGGCGGGTCCAAACCTGGATGAGGGTGAACCCGTTAGACCCAAGAGGCCTTCTTCCTGCTAGATGCCAAGTACTGTAGCTGGCTAACATGTATATGTCGCCATCGTTAGCAAGCTAACATTAGCTTTTCAGTTTTGTACCTCTGTATTGAATCTGGTTGTAATTTGCAGTCATTCCAACTGACTGCAGCGTTAGGGTTTTGTTGTCCAGTTAGGAGAAACCAGCGTTTTCCTGGATTTAGTAAGTTAAGTGATTGCTAATCACTTAAACCGAATATTCTCCACTGAGCCATCCAAGGTGTACTCGCAGTGGCAGGGTAATAACATGAGAGCAGACCCACCAAGACTGAACAATTCCGGAAAAGCATATGGGAGAAGGAGGCATCACACAACAACAATGCCCAGTGGCTCATGGACCTAAGAGCAGACCACAGCAACCTCCCTGCACAAGACCCAGTAATCATCATAATGGCAGACATTCAAGAGAGGGTCTCAAGTATGAAGAGGTGGACAGCACCAGGCCGTGACATGATCCATGCCTACTAGTTAAAGAAGCTAACTTCACTCCATGAGCGCCTGGCGGGACAAATGAACCAGCTACTAATAGATGGAACCCACCCTGAGTGGTTAACTGAAGGCCGGACAGTCCTGATCCTGAAGGACCCTCAGAAGGGAGCAGTACCATCCAACTACTGCCCAATAACCTGCCTCTGCACAACATGGAAGCTCCTGTCAGGCATCATAGCAGCTAAGATGAGCAGGCACATGGCTCAATAC